TGTATTGTATTGTATTGTATTGTATTGTATTGTATTGTATTGTATTGTATTGTATTGTATTGTATTGCTTTGTATTGCTTTGTATTCCTTTGTCCCCTGATTCACAAAGTTTATTTTTAGTTGAAAATCTTTTCTTTCCTTTTTTCTTTTTCAGGTTTGCAAATCCCACCATCCCAAGTCACCAGAGGACCGTTCTCTTGCTGGCTGGTTTCCCTGTATCACTAGTGAAGGACAGAGAAAGCAGCCTGAGATAGACCTAGAGAGGGCTGAAAAGGTCTGGCTCAAGGTAAACGACTCGCATGTCTTTTATTTAGGCTGTTGGTATGCATGCATACGTATGCGCGTCTCTGTTTTACTCTGGAGTGGTCCAGAGCAAGGAATTTCCTTCCTTTTCCTGACCTCTGTTTGAGTTCTAAACTCATCCCTATCTCTCCTGATTTATTTGATGGGTGATTTGGAATTCCTTTCATGTAAGGCTCTTGAACTCAGCAGGCCTCTAACCTTTGTTCTCTGTGTTATTAATTATCTGAGTAGCATATCCAACAGACTTGGGCACCTTTGTCAATAAATCAGTTAAAAAGTTTAGAATCAGTAAAAATATCAGAATCTTGGGTCTGGTGGTACCAGAAATCAGGTCACAAAGGGTAAGTCATTTCAATCGCCAAATTGCTAAGGGGATGCAGACAATATAGAGACACTGGTTAATGAAAATGAATATAGGGGGTCCTATCTAGGGGGAAATGGTCACTGTGAAACTTCTGGTTGGTAGAAAACATTTCAGAACACACCCATAATAATACTTAACACTTAGGAGGAAATAATGAATCGTAAAATTCAAAATGTAGACAATTGACATCCCTGCAGGATTTCAATGACATGTTCTCCTAAGAGTTTTTAAATGTGGTTCAATGGGAAAAAATGGGTTTGGGCAGTTTTAGAAGTACTAATGTTTCTTCTTAGAGTGAGATGTTCATCTAATCTAAAAACAATTGATTTTGTAAATCCCTCTGACTGTGTGCTGGCTACGTGACAGTATTTTAGGCATATACAGAAATAAATAAGTTGTGATCCCTGTCCTCAAAGAGCTTGCAGTCTGTAAAGGGTGACATGACATATGGACAAGTGACTATAACATAAAATAGAATATTTTAAGTGCTTAGAAGAGATATGAGTAAAGTGTTTTGAAAGCTCAGTACAGGCAAAGATCATATATGATTAGAGAGACTTTGGCTTCATGGATGAAGTAGTATTCCTTCAAGACTCAGCTCAGTGCAGACCTTTTCCTCCCTCTCCCACTCCAGCAGTTGATCATGACTTCCTCTCTTAAATCACCTTCTCTTCTGTGGTCACCTTGTATATATACCTTGGTGTTTACCTGTGAGCATCTTGAGGTCAGGGACTTTCTTTGCTTTTCTTTGCCTCCCTAGTAGGCACCTTCTGTGAGGCCATGATGGAGAATTTCAAAGAAGTCCAAAAGCAGTGTGGCTGATGGGAAATGGAGAGAAAATTTATTTTGAGCCCTCTCTTTAAATAGTGGTCCTGCAGGTCTGACCCCTCCAATCAAAGGGTCCTATCAGAAGGGCAGAGAGTACTGATGAAGTATGAGTACCAGGCAGATTCAGTCTTGCAGTGTAATGGGATTTCCAAATGATGAATTTCCTGGGGAAGGAAGACATCTTTATTTTACAGATAGGGAAGCTCAGGCTGAGGGAGATTAAGTGACTTATCCAGGGTGTCATAAGCTAGTAAATATCTGAGGTAAGAGTCAAACTTAGGTCTTTCTAAGTCCAGCATTCTATCCTCTGCACCACCTAGCTGCCTTCATATCTTTCATGTTGTCCCTGAGTCTTCTCATCTCTGGGCTGAATATCACTGAGTCCTTCAGCATCTCCTCATATGACTTTGTTTCATGCCTTCTCACTATCTCTGTCACTCTTTTTAGATATGCATTCCAACTTATTAGTGATTTATTGTTGTTGTTGTTCAGACGTGTCCAACTCTGTGTGACCCCAACTGGAGTTTTCTTGGCAAAGATACCAGAATGGTATGCCATTTCCTTCTCTAGTTCATTTTTACAGATGAGAAAACTAAGGCAAACAGGGTTAAGTGACTTGCTCAGGATCATCCAGTTAGTAAGTGTTTGAAGCCAGATTTGAACTCAGGAAGATGTCTTCCTGACTCTAGGCCCAGCATTCTATCCACTGTGCCACTTTACATAAATACTGTGAGTGGATATTGAGGCAGTAGATGGGAGAGTAAAAGACATCCTGCTCTCGGTATGCTAATATTCTAGGCAAAGCAGACACAAAGGAAGTAGCTAGAGAAGTAGACAGTAAATGCTTGTTGATTGGAATACCAAGCAACATATCCACATATGCAAAATAACATGGTTATGTTTATTTTCATGGCATCTCTAAAAGAGTCTCAAATTCGGAATGGTTTCACTCAAACTGGAATGGATAGCAATCCTAACAGAAACAACCACACACATGTGGCATTTTAAATATCACGTGCTACCACATCAGTGATACATTATGGACAGATGATTGCTTGGAGATTTGTACTGCACAAAGTCTCAAACTAATTATAGTCTCCTAAATAATGTTTCTTCTCATTCTTGCAACTAGCCAAGTGCTCTGCATGAACTTCCAGCTCATAGACATTCAATGAAGTTTTAATTGATTGTGCTTTGAAAGACGGGAATCCCTGATGCCCAAATTATCTAATAATGTTTCCTTCCCTTTATCCATGATAGCATTGGTTTCTGCCCCTTGAAAATACTTGGATAATTATCCCTTGACTTATTCTAAAAGATAGGTAACTGTTGGTCTTTTTTCATGTGTTTTTCTATATCATCTAACCTTTGGAGTGGGGCAGGAATCAGGTGTGTACAATGAGTTGATGAGCAAGGTAGATTAGTATAGGGAAAATTGCACAGGCAATTTGAGTTCTGGTCCTGGCTTTGCCTTGAGTAGTGTGACCTTGATCAAAGTACTTAACCTCTTTGAAACTATTTCCCTATCTATAAATAAATAAGGACTAGTTGATTTCTAAGATTCCTTCCAGCCCTAACTTTCCATAATTGAGTGAAAAAGGCATTTATTAAATGCTTAAACTACTGGAGATACAAATACAGAAATAAAGATAGCCCTTGCCCTTGAGAATCTTACACTCTGATGAGGGGAAAACATATATAAAGAAATAGTTGTCAGGGAAAGATACTTTGGTATAGAAAGAAAGAGGGACAGGGAGTAGGGCCATAGGGGAATAGATTGACACATCCTGTCCAGAAACAGTGGCATAGTTGATTTGTTCATGTTTCATGATTCTAGAACTGGATTGGAAAGGCTGGGGAATGAGGAAGTTAAGGAGATGGCCAAAGAGGAGGGAGTGAGGTGAAACATGGCCAAAGTTTTCCTGACAGCATTCTGGGAAGGTCAGTGACCAGTTATAGAGGTCCTTTGTCAGAAGTGGGCAAGATCATGAAATGTTCAAACTTTGCACAGAATAGTGAGGGAGAGGCAGCCACTGTTCCAGTGCTAATTCTGGGAGCCCTGTGTCAATAGAGATGTTAATGAACCACTACAGACTCAGGGAAAAAATAGAGAGAAGAGAATAATAGTGATTGGAAACTTGGAAATAACAATTTTCAGTGGCATAGTGAGGAGAGCTTTATCCTAGTGCAACTAAGAGATGAAGGACTTTTCAGAAAGAGCAAGCCAGTGTGGTCGTTGCAATCTGGGAAAATACTGGGTCCATTTCTTTCACAGGTTCTATAGGGTCACTTGGTTCAAGAGTATGTCAAGAGGATATATGATGAATTTTGTTTTTCCCTGGAGCAAGTAGATTCTGGGGTGTTGTTTGTCTAACCTGTTAGGAACCAAGGAAGCTAGCAGTATAGAAGCCAGGGGCAGTTCATTTAATTAGGGTGATGGCAGTTCCAAAGAAGGGTCCCTAGACTCAGTTGTGCTGGTATCTGGAGCTTTTAACCTAGTGTTAGAGTCTCTTTCTTGAAACTTAAAGGTACTTTATAGAAGAAATGCATCAGTCAATGCTGAAAACATTAGACCATATCAGTGGATGCATTTAAGGGAAGAGTTTGTAACTATGGGAACTTGGAACAATAATGGAAGAGTAAAGGGTAGTGTCCGCCCCTCAAACTGGGGCAACAATTGATACCTACAAAACTGTGACAGCTCATTTCCCAATCCCCACACACTTGAAGTTGAGAGTGGCCCCTCCAAAATCAGACAGGAAAGAGCAGAGGAAGGAAAGGGTGGGACCAAACCATGGACATTGCCAAGGGACCTCAGCCATGATTGGTTTTCAGGCCATGGCAGAAGGAAGGATTCTCTGTTGGTTTTGTGAAAGGCTGCTCCTTGAACTTGGCACATGGCTGCAACCAGCTCTGGTAGGTACCTCAGGGTTTGTGTTTACTCCATGCTTCAGAGGAGTTTCAGGGTCAGGGTAGCTCAGGCATTTTATAGGGAAGGAAGGAGTCCTGCTCAAACAGGTCTGATTGTTTTTTCTTCCTCTGAGGTCACAGGGAGGGAGGGATCAATCAGTTTAGAAACTGAAAGTGACTAGGTTGGAAGATTCCATACATTCAAGACTCCAGGTAAAAAGGATTCCAGAAAAAGAGGCAGGGAAAGAGGACTGGGGTACCAGGTGGGGCAAAGATCCATGGTTAGGACATAGACAATTTGCTGACCAGAGAAACAACCCTTAAACCCAGCCCTCAAAATATTTTTTTTCAGACTAGGTCTTTTCCCTCTCAAAGGTAGAAGGAGGATATGCCTGATACAGAGACCTTGGTCTCTGTCAAATTTAGGAAGAGGCATCCTGGGATATGCCAGAGTTCTGTCTATCTTTTCTGTACTTGAAAGTGGAACCAAGGGATTTCCCAATGTGGCTCAGTTGATAGTACTGGACTTGGGGCTAGGAAGACACAAATTCCAATTGTACCTCATACACATACTGAGCAAATTATTTAAACCTTTATCAGCCTCAGTTCTCTCATCTGTAAAATGGAAATATTATCACTTATCTCACAAGGTTCTTGAGGGGATCAAGTCAAATAACATATGTAAAATACTTTACAAACTTGTAAATGTTAGCTATTTTCATTATTATTATAATCAGAATCCCGGCATCAGATATGCAATCCAAACCCTTCTTGGACCTACTGATACATCAGTCCATACCACTTTATAATCTTTGATTTGGAAGGAATGCTAAAGGTGATATAAATCAGGCCCCTGTACAGATATGGTCATCAGAATGGAG